GTGTATTGTAAAATAGTTTTTAATATTTTGACAAAAGTTCTTTTAATTTAACAGTTTAATCATTAGAATGCGATATCTGAGTCACTTTTTTTGAACAGAGTTTTTTTCTGAATCTCATTTATATCCAAATTTATAATTTTCAATAGAATACCTTAGGGTGAATAAACTTTTTTCCTAGGTGGTCGGAAAGGGGGGTTTATATTAGTAAGATTAAAAATTAGTTTGACCCCAAAAATAATAGACAAAAAATGTTTTTAGTAAAAAAATTCAGGTGAGTCACTTTTATCAAACAACACTGTATCTACTTTGTGTCCATATCTGCTGAAAATCAAGTGGCGCTCTAGTCCTTTGGTTTTCTTAATTTTTCTCGCCGTTTTCCTTTGTAATCTCTTTGTATTGCAAAGTGTCTTTATCAACTCTGCAATTAACCCCAATGCAGATGATATTTTCATGTTTCTGAACATGCTTCCGATGGGTGGTTACTTTTATACTAGCCTTTTCCCTCTCTGTTTTTTGACTTAGCAATGATAATTCTCTTTAACGATTGGACAAAGAAAGCCATATATTGTAGAGCTAATTAAAAGGCATTAGCAAGCCATACCCCGAGTTCTGAAGATGCATCACCCTTAATAATTTCCATGGTATATCTAGAGACTGTAAATCTCCTAGATTGTCTCCCTGGCTCAAAACTGTCATCGTTTTTTTTTCCACAGGAAGACATTGGTGGAAAATATCCGATGTAGAGGTAACGTGTAGACTCGTGTTTTTTTTTTCAATCTGCCTGTCTAATCTCTGCTTCAGTTGCATGTTTTTGCCGTTTTTGACAGCATTTTTTTCAATAGTTCCAAGTTGTAAACTGCTTTTTGGTCCTCTAAGGTTTTAAATATTCCCTTCGTTCAATAGAAACCCGACATTTCAAAATGTGCATAAATTTAAAAACAGATCTAGCATAAATGATATGTATGAAGAAAAATATGACAATATTATTTACCAGAGAAGGTAAGATTATCAGAAGTAAATTTATATTTTTCAATTAAATGAAATTTTGAAAATCAGGACATGAACTAGTTCAAATTAAACAAAGAAAAGGAAAAACAAGGACAGAATTAAAGTTCAACGTCTTGTGAAGAGGAAAGATGCCAACATTAAGCGATTTTAATAAATAAGGTAAATTTGAAATAAGAAAAATAAAATGAAACAGGGTTACTTACCTAAATATGGAAATATAGTTGCTTCCACAGAAATAAACAAACACAACGTTTTAAATAAACGCTAGTCACTTCGAATATACTAAAGTATGTGAATTAAAAAAATGTTTACTTTCTTTTTCAAATAATTAAGTCTGTTTTATAAAAATACAAAAGAACTAAATAATTTGACATATAGAGACAAACGTGTTGCGGAGGTAGAAATGGGTAACATGGACGACAGAACTTTGGTGTTGTTGTTGTTACTGTTGGGAAGGGTAATTTCTTCCCTGCCTTGGCAAACGTAAATTCAAGTAAAAAGAATACATTTGAGTATGAGCAAATAAATATATAATTTATTTAAATACACACAAAACTAGTAACATTTATCTGTTGCTGTTGCTAAGCCAACTGGGATAGAGAATGGCGAAATTAGAATTGACGTGGACATTGCTAATGGTTGTCGTTGTTGTTACTCTCAGCGCGTCGGTGTTGACATAATGGCTGGATTGTGTCACGTCTCTCAGCTTGCTGATGTCGACATTCAGGTTGGTCTGTGTTGTGTTTGTCTGAATTAGAGAATATATAGTTCGGTATTAGTGTTTTGGTTTATGAGCAAGTGTGGCTTTGATAGTTCAATAAATTGTTCGTTTTATTTTCGTTAAAGCTGAAATATGCGTAGATCTTATGCGCAGAAAACGTATTTATGCAGTTTGCATTGAGTGGCCAGCGGTCAACATCTGGTTTGTGTAGAAAATATATGAGGCACGACAAACAAAATGTTAATAGTGTATATAAGTTAGATAATACTTATCGAAAGATGTTTCAGTGCAAGATTCATAAGCGACATATATTTATGCTACTGTTCTTGATTTTAAAATGAAGAATTTTTTTATTCATTAGGTTTCATGGTGTGGATTTTTCTTGAGAATTATACTATTTTTCCACTGTAAATCTGATAGAAGATTACGATACTTAAAATTACGGCTCGAATACATTACTGGGGCAGAATTGCTATCGACAAGAGCAATCTGAACAATTAATCTTAAGCCTTGTAAATCTTGAAACAAGGAAATATTGTAGAAAAAATTAAGGATCGAATTAATTCCTTCAACAGTCTTGCCATCGATACGAGAATTCTAAACATTTCACCTTAGAAGGTGTTTAGCAACTTGTAATTCTGGAAAAAGAACGCATTATTGAAGGAGAACACATTCTTGCATCAGATTTGATATCGATGCCAGCCATTTAGACGCATTCACCACAGGAGTGCTTAGCTTTTGTTAGTTTGGAACAAGAACGCAATATTGAAGGAAAAATTAAAATTAAGGATCGAACTCATTCCTCAATTGCAACCCTTTCTCTTAGTAGCTATTACGGTGTTTTAGCATTTTGCCCGTGTGCATGGTAAAAATATTTCTATTTATATGTTGATATGGATTGAAACATTTCAATGAATACAAAGAAAGCTTCAATAGGTTATTACTTCCGAGCCATTTGCATCCAACATAACCAACGCCAAGAAAAGGTACGCTGCCAAAAATATTAAAAAACATAAAAATAAAATAAATGAATAAATAAATAAAAAATAAAAATCATAATGCCATCTTGTAATTTCTGTATCGTATATCTTTGTCGTCTTGCCCAAATTGACCAACTTATTGATACATTTGTTTTTTGTATTCAACGGGACAAGCGTGCTGATATCTTTGCCAAACTTTCAGTGCCTTTTTGATCGTGTCCAACGTAACCAAACTTTCCATACGTTTTCGATCGTGTCCAAATTGTTCTATGCCTTTTCGATCGTTTCTAACATTCCGCACCTATTCGGTCGTGTCTAACGTACCCAAATTTTACATAACTTTTCCAGCGTTTCCAGTATGATCAAACTTTCCATCGTGTCCAACGTTCCATAACTATTCAATAATGTCCAAAGTGATCAAATATTCCATAGCAGTTTTCACCGTTTCCAACGTGATCAAACTTTCCATAGCTGTTCCACCGTGTCCAACGGTACCAATCACTATTCGATCATGTCCAACCTCACCAAATTTTCTATATCTTTTACATAGTTTCCAACGTGATCAAACTTACTATAGCTTTTCCATTGTGTCTAACGTGACGAACTTTCCATGACTATTCGATCGTGTCCAAATGTGACCAAATTTTCCATACATTTTCCATCGTTTCCAACGTGATCAAACTTTCTATAGCTTTTCCATTGTGTCAAACGGAACTAATATCTATTCGATCGTGTCCAATGTCAACAAATTTTCCATTGCTTTTCCATCGTGTTTAATGTGACGAACTTTCCATGATTATTCGATCGTGTTCAACGTAACAAAATTTTTCCATTCATTTTCCATCGTTTTCCACGTTGACAAATTGTCCATAGATTTTCCATCGTATCCAACGTTACCAACATTCCATAACTATTCGATCGTGTCCAAAGTGACCGAATTTTCCATTCATTTTCGATCATTTCCAACGAGATGGATCTTATCATATCTTTTACGTCGTGTCTAACGTGACCAACCTTCCATAACTATTCGATCGTTTCCAATGTGACCAAATTTTACACAACTTTCTCATCGTTTCCAACGTGATCAAACTTTCCACACCTATTGGATCGTATCCAACGTTACGAAACTTCCATAACTATTCCATAGTTTTCCAACGTGACCAATTTTTTTTTCCCATCGTTTCAAACGCGTTCAAACTTTCCATCGTGTCCAATGTGACCAAATTTCCATAACTATCCGATCGTGTCCAACGTGACCAAATTTTCTATACCTTTTCCATCGTTTTCAACGTGATTAAAACTTTCTATAGCTTTTCCATCGTGTCCGACGTGACGAACTTTCCATAACTACCCGATCGTGCCCAACGTCACTAAATTTTCCATACCTTATCGATCGTTTCCAACGTGATCAATTTTTCCATAGCTTTTCCGGCGTGTCCAATGTGATCTACTTTCCATAACTATTCGCTCGTGTCCAACGACACCAACGACACCAACGACACCAACGCCAATAATATCTAATTAGACAAAATTTGCGAAATAAATCTAATCTGTTTGTATCATGTATTGGTTGATTGGTTGTGTATGTTTAGCGGCATATAAACACCTCTATGGGTTAGTTAATGCTGAAATCTAAACATTTTGTACGCAGTTTTATTTTACTTTTGGAGATAATAATGATTTAGTGATATAAGTCTTACTAAATAAGCCACAAAAGAAAAGGTGGATTCATACCTTTCTTTCATTTATTTCCTTTTTCTTTCTTTCTTTCTTTCTTTCTTTCTTTGCTTTCCCTTTTCTATATCTATTTGTTTCCATCTATCCTTTCTTTCCATCCTTTCTTTCTTTCCATTCATTCATTCGTTCATTCAATTGTTCTTTCTTTCTTTCTTTCTTTCACGTTTCTGTAAAGTACATTCCGTTTTTCTTTCAAGAAAATATCTAACAATGGCGCTACTATCATTCTTCTTCCTTTTCTTTTTCTTTTATCCTCTTTATTTGTCTTTATAATGAATAAAGTACAGAAAAATACAGAAAATTATCTGTGTTTATGTCAATGAAGTATTCAAATTAATCAATAGAATTACGACATTACACTCCCATCAAGTTTATCTTTGATTGACGTATGATGTCAATTTATCCTGCAGCTTACAAATTAAGCCATAGCTGGTAGAGAAGAGGTAAGTTCATAACTTTCTCAAGCTTTATATAACGAATCCAACAGGAATTGGAACTTTTTCTTCAGTTACCAATTCCGAGCCATTATCCATTACACAACCCGCAAATCCAAGCATACAGCACCTGATATTCCCAAGCGATCACTCATCTAGGTACTGTCCAGGAGCGACGTTGCTTAACTTCGGTGATCGTACGTGATCTGGCCGTGAGCAGTGTTTTTCAAGCTGTACACGACAAAATTCTCAGATTTGGCATTATATGAAACAAACTGTGGAGGTGATATACGCGTATACGTGTGTATGCAAATTTCGATTGATTCCATAGAATCCTAGGAAGCAAGATAAAGGTGGATACAGCCGGCATAGCGGACAGAAATGACATTTAGATAATTTGACGTGACCATCAGCCTTTGAGCAAGGGGCCAGGCGACAAGATCAGAGACTCGATGGAGTATCAAGCTGAGATAAACAGTCGATAGAAAAGTGCTTAAGGGTGAAGTTCTATTCATATGATTAACGAGGACAGACATATTGGTAGAGGCGGTAAGAATATCCGACGCTGTAGGGAACAAAACGAAGGGAAAAAGAAGTTTCGTTCATTAAAAATACTTGTAGTTAGTATTTGAACAACGGCAATTTATTCAGTAGTTTATATCCACACAGATTTGCACACGTTACTCATGGGGAAGGGCTTCCAAAATGCTTCACACTTTATAAAAATGTTTAACGAAATCCTCTGCAAGAATAATTCTTCTGCACAAGATGCTTACTTTAAAAACATAATAAAGTATTGTTTTCCTTGATAAACAGGATTCGATTGTTTTAATGGATTTTTGATTTTTGATGAGCCATTCCTAATATGCCCAGATTCAAGAATAAAACTCTGGTAATTGAATAAAACAGAATGTTTGACACCAACGACCATGATGCATTCAAAATCACGTAAATTACTTTTCTTCCTAAACTATTTCTATGACCATGTCTAAACCCCTAAATCTATTAAATTGCTGGTATGTCATTGGCTGATTAGAAATTTGCATAAAAGAGCTTGTGTTCATTTATACATTATTAAATTACTTGTGACCGTTCGGCGTTTTTATTGTACTCCATTTATTGAACCTTCAACAAAAAATCTCAAATTGCCATATTAGTAAAAAACGCACTCTCTTAACTTTTCAAAAAAAAAAAAAAAAAATCAACCTTAGCGTTGCGACTGCACGCTCCAAAAATTTGTATCTGTTATCAATAACACGAAAAAAATATTTTGATTCGCATTTCATTTTTTCGTCTCTGATGCTACCCGGATTTTACTAAGAACAAAAAAAATTTCATGCCTGAAGATGACTGAATGTACAGTTGAAAGTACTTGCAGATTAAAAAAAGACTTTATACAGCTTGTAGTTATTAAAAACAAGGATCATAACATTCATCGAGTGATTCGTAGGTTAATGCAACTTTAAAATTTTGTTTATGAAAGGATTTCGCAATTTTATACCATTATCTTTACTAATCTACTTTTTACATGATTCAATGATTCATTGTAATATATATATATATATATATATATATATATATATATATATATATATATATATATATATATATAGAGAGAGAGAGAGAGAGAGAGCACCTCGAGGTGGTGTAATGGTTAGCAAGCTTGTCTCGCTAGAACAATTACGACTGAGTAGTGAGTTCGATTGTCACTGGGTGCCCATCTAATTTCGACCTTGTGCCACATCTAAGCTAAGCTTGGAAAATTGCTATATGCGTGTGTGTGTGTGTATTTTCACAATCATAAGAGAATGCAGACATTTTGCAGTTTCTTTGAAGATAATATTTTGAAAAGATTGAAAATACATAGGTTAGAAAAAAAAACTACTTCCTTGATGAATTTCATCTTAACATCAAGAAACTGATTAGAGAACTACAAAGGATCAGTAGAAAACTAAATTGACATAATATATCTATATTATTAAATGAAATATATTTGAATGAAGATATGCTGTCTAAATAGACATACTTTACATACTTACATATCTATATGTGTGTGTGTGTGTGAGTGTGTGTGTTTATCTTTCATTGAAAACGGCCGGCAAGAAAGATTTAATTAAGATTTCATTAATCTTTTATTGATTTTTTTTTCAGCGATCTAACATTTTTCAGATGGCTAGAAAAGCTCTACTAAAAGATTAATGTTATCTACCTTGTGGGCCGTTTTTAATGAAAGATACATGAAAGAAAGGTTGCTTCCCAAATACGCATAAATTATATATATATATATATATATATATATATATTTCGATCCTAGCTTGAGGTCACTGGACGTCTAATCACACTGATGAGCTGTGATATAGCGAAACAGTCTATCTGTGGATGACAATATATATATATATATATATATATATATAGATAGATAGATAGATAGATAGATAGATAGATAGATAGATATGTATGTATATATATAAAGCCACAGTATGAATGTTGGGAAATGTTATAAAAGCTTGAATTATCTTTTATATATATTTCGATCCGAGCTAGTGGTCACTGGACGTCGGATCACACTGATGAGCTGTGATACAGCAGAAAACAGTCTGTGGATGACAATATATATATATATATATATATATATATATATATATATATATATATATATATAAAGCTACAGTATGAATGTTGGAAAATGTTATAAAAAAGCTTGAATTATCTTTTTCATCTCATCATTGCTCATTGGGAAAACATTGGGGTTACACAAAACGATTTTAACATATTAAACATTTTGTAAAATGGTCAAAATCGTGTAACAGCATAATTTTCCATCCTATAAAATGTTTAAGATCTAAAAAAATAATAAAGTAATCAAGTTTCTTTTTTCCAGGTTTTCATATAAGACGTTTAGCCATCTTGACATCATTTGTCGTAAGAAGCACTGAAAAACCCTTTGAGTTATTCAGCTAAAAAGAGAACAGGTGAAAATCGTTTGTGTCAGCTCCCCTGTCTTCTCAACTGAGCAATGGGGAGAGGTAAAAATCATTCAGACCTTCTGTAATAGTACCAACATTCATATTCTGGCTTCCATCTTCAAAGTCCATTCAAGAACCATCCAGAGATCGATGAATAAGTTTGAAAAAAGACGGAGCAGTAGAGAGGAAAACTGGATCAAAGGATCATGACAGGAAGAGGGATCAACATTTTAACTTAGAGCAAAATAGATCAATTAGAAAAGATCCAACTCAGTACATAAGATATTTGGCACGTAAGAGAGCAGTTTCAGCTATGACAGCCCAAAGAGCAGTGAAAAAAGAAAATGAAATCGTGCGTGAAACCTGTGAGGCACCTTGCTGTTCCAGGACAGAGTTAGAATGTTAGAGAGGGGCGACGATCAGCTTGAATAAGTTGGAAAATGATCATGGAATAATATATATATATATATATATATATATATATATGAAATTTATTTCAATCTTTCCTGAGCTTCCGATCCTAGGCTATGATTAATTGATGATGAACATGATCGATTTCATCATGATTCTTCTGTTTAGCTTGGAGAATAATTATACATTCTTATTGCTCTAAGTAGAGGTCAATAGTGTTAAAAAAACATCGGAGAATTCCATTAAGATATATTTTACAATTTCTAAGATACAATGGTTCAAAGTTTAATTTAACAAATGGACAATTTTGCTTTTACACGATTTGGACAATTTTGCTGTTACATCCCCTAGTTTCATTTAAACATGTCTGATTAAACTATTTAGACATGTGGTTCTTGCTTACCTTCAATAAGATCCTTAGCATAAACTACAAATTCTTGAAGCTATCTTTATTAAAAAGTTATAAGCAGCACTTAACAAAATTATGAATATAACACAAATGTTCTGAAATGCTTATAGTACATAGTTTTAAAAATATCTAAGTTACAACTAATAGTTTAAAAACAAGTAAATTATAAACTTCTGTCATAATCCAATTATTAACTAAGTAACTTCCCTTACATTAAAAGTATTAAAATTATGTTTACGTTCACGATAATATTCATAATCGTGATAATTCAACCACAAAGAAGTTTCTCTTACAACATAAATTTTAAAATCTGTGTTTGTGTCTTTGCGCATGACCGGAACTGTTAACGGTTTAGCGACAAAAGCAGAAACTTATTTCGGACTAACACAACTATTTGTTATATTTTTGGCGGAGTAGGTAATGGTTGCTCCAGTTTCTGTTACGCAGTAACGACTTATTTAAGACGTTGAATGCCGAGAAAGATAATATTCGGAAAAATGCTATTAAACTTCCTACGTCATGATCTTTTCAGTTGGAACTTTCAAAGTGCGGGGCCTGATCCGGAACGAGAAGCAAGAGCAGTTAGCGATGAACATAGAAACGCTGAACTGTGACATTCAAAGAATATGGCAGAAAGATCCCACTTTTCCTTTGGAGAAGATTACAATCAAGGAAGATCTGCAACGAATACGCAAACTGGCAGAGGACAGAGAAGGCAGGCTAAATTTTGCCGAATTACAAATGTCACTGAAGATGAGAGAACATGTTAATTCATGAACTCAAAACGAAACAGTTTCCATGATAATGATATCACAAATATTTGTCTTAACTATCAAAACCCTGATAATGATATTGGAAAAAATAGAAAATAAAAGTAAATAAGTATAACCGCAAGGTCATTCTTGGTGTCTTTAATGATGAAACAAGAAAAAGCTCATACGTGATTACGAAAGGGTAATTGAAGGTAAGTTAGGAAATCAGACATCTTTAAAGGAAAATTTACTGCCAAAATATACAGAACATATATATATATATATATATATATATGGAGAGAGAGAGAGAGAGAGAGAGAGAGATAGTAACAGAGTGTAGATAGATAGATATGGATAGACTTAGATAGAAATGGATAGACTGAGATAGATAGATAGATAGATAGATAGATAGATATGGATAGACTTAGAAATGGACAGAGATAGATAGATAGATAGATACGGACAGACATAGATAGATAGATAGATAGATAGATAGATAGATATGGACAAACATAGATAGATAGATAGATAGATAGATAGAGGGATAGATAGATAGATAGATACGGACAGACCTAGATAGATAGATAGATAGATAGATAGATAGATAGATAGATATGGACAAACATAGATAGATAGATAGATAGAGGGATAGATAGATAGATAGATATGGATA